CCTAAAACAAAATAAAAGGGAGAAAAAAAGAAGGAAGGCAGAAAAAAAATTTGAAGAGTGCACAGATAAGTAATTCCAACCTATATGCTTCTGTGATGAATTCTCAGTATGTATAATGGGAAGTAGTCAGGATCTTGCTTACCAGCATGAACTATTACAAAACACTAGAGGCCTGGTGCACAAATTCATGTACCATTGGGGTCCCTTAGGCTGGCCTGCGGGATTGGGCTGAAACAAGCTTTCTGACATCCCCTGAGGGGTTCTGGATTACGAGGGGACACAGACCAGGCTGAGGGACCTCACTGGTGTACAATCAGGGCTAGGGAGAGATGTGGGAGGTTGGCCAGCGGGGAGGGACTGCAAGAGGGCACCAGAGCATATCCGGCTCATCTCACCCAGTCCCGATCCTCCGACCCCAGCAGCAAGCTAACCTACCAATCAGAGCGTCTGCCCTCTGGTGGTCAGTGCACATCATAGTGAGCAGTTAAGCAGCCTTAGCATATCATTAGCGTATTACACTCTGATTGATTGAATGGCCTACCAGTCGACCAGCCACGTAGCATATTAGGCTTTTATTATATAGAATATCATTATTTGCAAAAACTCTAAGAGTCAGAGAGCTAACTTTTTATTCCTTGAAATAGTCGTGAAGGAAAATAAAAGTCCATAGGTAATAAAATATTTTCAAAAATATGTTATACAATGCACTAAAAGCCTTGCTTAATATCTTTAGTTTTGTCAGCATCCAGGTCTTAAGAACTGTTATTTCTAAAAGTAGTAACTTATTAAAGAAAAAATCTTGTGAAAGAAAAAGTTGTATTTTTATGAGTTGATAGAGAGAGTAGATTAATTAATTGACTAATTTATTCATGCACTTCTTCACAATTAGCTATTTATACAATGTTTCATGTGCTGTGTTAATTAGCAGTCTGAGTTACAAGGATAAATAAGAGATGCCTCCAAGAAATCCATGGTTGGTGGGCTGAAAGATTCAGAAAGCAGATGATTGAGGCTCAAAGAAGATGGGGCTGTACCAGATGTTTTGATCAGGTCACTATTAGAGAAGAGAGAGAAAGTAGCTCATAACTGCTTATGGAAGCTGGGAGCTCGTCTTAGAGATGTGAGGATACTTGAGCTGGGTCTAAAAAGATGAAGAGGGAAGGGAAACAAAGCTACCACATGTCTACTACCTAGCTAGCATTGTGCTAGATACTCTGACAATTCTAAGGGGAATAAGACCCAATGGGGGGGTCAAGAAAGGCAGACAAGCCCATATAATTCAAGGCATGATAGTATGCAAAGCTCTATTAGAAAGGGATCTTATGGAGGCCTATTCAAGATCAGAAAGTAGAGCTCAACATTTTTTTTTGTTTTGTTTTTTAAGAATAAGGACATTTATGACAAAAAAATGAGAGTTCTCTCCACATGGGCTCTTGGTAAAGGATCTCCATGCATATAAGCACATCCAAAGTGTTCAATTTGTTATTCTGGGTAAAGATTTTAGCGGGAGATAGATGTATCATAGCTTATTTAACCAAATTCTTATTGATTAAAGAAAGATGTCTTAAAATTGAAATAGCTGGGTCCTCCAGTAAGTCCATTTTTAAGGCTTTGCTATTTTTTTTTAAATAAATCTTTATTGTTCACATTATTACAAATGTTCCTCTTTCTCTCCCCCCACTCCATTGCTCTCCTCCACCAGGTTCCCACCCCAGCCTCTGCCCTTTCCCCACCCCTCATTGTCCTCATCCATAGGTGCACAGTTTATGTTCAGTCTCTTCCCACATCCTCCTCTCCCCTTTTCCCCAAGAATCGTCAGCTCACTCCCCTTCCATACCTCTGATTCTCTTATATTCAACGGTTAATATTGTTCATCAGATTTTTTTTTTAATTTCCTTGGTTTTTAGATTCACTTGTTGATAGTTATGTATTTGTTGTTCATAGTTTTTATCTTTATTTACTTTCTCTTCCGAAAGAACCCCCTTCAGTAATTCATATAATTCTGATTTGGTGGTGATGAACTCCTTTAGCTTTTTTTTTTTATTGGTGAAGCTCTTTATCTGGCCTTCGATTCTGAGTGATAGCTTTGCTTGGTAGATTATCTTTGGCTGTAGGTTCTTACTATTCATCACCTTGAATATTTCTTGCCATTCCCATCTGGCCTGCATGGTTTCTGTTGAGAAATCAGTTGACAATCGTATTATAGGTGCTCCTTTATAGGTAACTACCTGCTTTGTTCTTGCTGCTTTTAATATTCTCTCTTTGTCTTTTGCTCTTGGAATTTTAATTATGATTTGTCTTGGTGTGGTCTTCTTTGGATTCCTTTTGTTTGGAGTTCTGTGTGCTTCCTGGACTTGTAAGTCTAATTCCTTCACCAGGTGGGGGAAGTTTTCTGTCACTATTTCTTTCAGTATGTTTTCGATATCTTGCTCTCTCTCATCTTCTGGGAGCCCCATAATTCTGATGTTGGTTCACTTGAAGTTGTCCCAGAGGTTTCTTACATTATCTTCAACTTTCTGGATTTTCTTGCCTTCTTGCTTCTGCAGAGGAGTGTCTTCTGGCTCTTTATGTTCCAAATCTTTGACTTGATTCTTGCGGTCTTCCATTCTGTTTTTAGGACTCTGTATAATATGTTTTATTTCAGACCATGTATTCTTTATTTCTTGTTGATCCCTTATTATTTCTTGTTGATTCCTTATTATTTCTAGTTGATCCCTTTTCATATCCTCATAGGTCTTATCAATCTTTTCTAGGAAATTCTTGAAAAACCTGATAAGCGTGGTTTTGAACTCTATATTCAGTCGGTTTTTGTCCTCCATTTCTTTTGTTTGTGATCTATTTCCTTGTCTCGGCATTTTCGCAGCTTCCCTGAGTTGGTAGCCTTAAAAGTCTCTGTGTTCTGCTTGGATGGGGCGGAATTTCAGGGTGGAGCCTATAGCCCTGGGTCAGCCACGCTCTACGCAGCTCCTGAGTCTCAGTGTTTCTCAGGGTCCTTCAGTACTCGCTGCAAGCACCTCTGAGAGTGTAGGTGCCCTCGAGTTTCATCTGCTACCAAACAGTCTAATCTACCCCCCCAATGAGCCCGGAACTGGGGTTCAGTTCAGTTGGAAGTGGGATTGGAGGTGGCGTTCAGAGAAGTCTGGAGCCCTTGTCTCCTTCTCGCCAGGGCAATCCCGCAGCACAGCCAACTGTCCCTTCTCTGCGTGCAATGTGCATGCCTTCGGGGGCTCTGCCTTTCGCCGCTCCCCTGGAGTTCTGCCTTACAGTCCAATCTCCCTCTGTATGAGCCTGGGTCCTTGGGGTCTGGCCTAAAACTGGGATTCAGTGCTGTCGAGTCTGGGGTTCAGCACAATCTGGAGCTTTTATCTCCTTCCCGCTAGGGAATGCCAGCCAGGCACTCAGTCTCCCCCTCCTCTCCCTGCACGCAGCGTGTCTTCGTACCTTAGGCTTTTACAGCTCCTCTTATTTTCCTTCTGGCTTTCTCTTTCCTTCTCGTTGTAGAATTTCCAGTCAGTCGACTTTCCTGTAGCTCTGGGCAATGTCCATTTTATATTTTAGTTGTATTTTATTGAAATTGTTGTGTGCAGCTGTGGCTAGGTGTTTACCTGTCAGCCATCTTAGATCCTCTTTCTTTAATTTCCAGGCTTTGCTTTTTTTGCTCAATTGCTCTCCAGAGGACTGTACCCCTCCCCAAAACCCCATGTTGGAATCCCATTCCCCTCACCCCTCTCCCAGTACTTTGTGTTCTCATTTTGAAATCTGTGGCCATTTGTCAAGCAAGTGGCAGTTTCTTATTGTGGTTTCAATTTTATTTTCTCAAAAATAGTGCTAGCCTTTTCTTTTATTAATTGGGAACCTGTGTTTTTTCTTTAGTGAGTTGTTTATTTATATCCTTAGCCTGTTTTCTGTTGAGGTTTTGCTTTTTCTTGTTAAATATAAGAATTTTTTTATTCTGAGTATATTAAACATTTACTTTATATTGCAAATGTGTTTTAAAAAATATTTTTATATATTTCATAGAGGAAGGGGAAGATATTTCTATTGATTTCATAGAAACATCAATGATGAGAGAGAATCATTGATTGGCTTCCTCCTGCACGCCCCCTACTGGGGATCAAGCCTGCAACCCAGGCATGTGCCCTGACCAGGAATCGAACCATGACTTTGTGGTTCATAGATAGATATTCAACCATTGAGCCACGCTGGCTGGGTTGCAAATGTGTTTTTTTAAGTTTACAAATGACCTTTTAATTTTATCTCTAGTGGCTTTGCTAATAGAAATGCTAATCTTTATTTAGACTAGTACCTTGATTTTTTTCTTTATGAATTCCGAATTTACATTCCTTTATCACCTCCAAGATTAAAAAAAAGCATTTATATATTTTATAGTATTTAAAGGTTTCCAATTTTTATATTTGAATATGCCATTATTATTATTTTTTTTGTGGGGGGGGTATTGTGTTATATTGGAGGAAAAACCTGAATTTTAAAAAACTATTTAACTACTTATCCAAATATTATTTAAAAAGTAATCCATTTTTCCCTATAGCCCTGAAGAGGTACCTTTCTGATATATTCAAGTCTCATACAGATGTAGGCTCTTCCAAGGTGCTTCATTTTGTTCCTTTAAGCTATCAAATTATTTTAATTATGGAAAATTTTTTATGGTCTTATTCTCTGCTATTTTTTTAATGTAAGATTTATATATTTTTTCACCACTCACATTAACACTTTATCATTACTATATCACATTTCACCAGTTTATTCCACTGATATTTTTATTGACATTTGCCTTAAAATTTTTAAATTACTTTGGGAAGCATCAACTTCTTTTCAATATTATGTTGCTTTATTTAATATGTGATTCCTTCTGTGTACCCAAGTTTTTCAGTAAAGTTTTAATTCCGCTTTGGCGGGATCTACATGTTTACTGTTGAGTTTATCCCCAAGTGTTTCAGAGAAATCACATTTCTCACAGCTGTTTGCTCTCCCCCCACCAGGTTCTGATCACATTCGTGAGAAAGATGGACTCTGGGCTGTCCTTGCCTGGCTCTCCATTCTAGCCACCCGCAAACAGAGTGTGGAGGACATTCTCAAAGATCACTGGCAGAAGTATGGCCGGAATTTCTTCACCAGGTAAACCACCGCCTGGCTGAGGCAGGGTGGGAAAGTAGGCAGAGAGAATTCTCATGCATACAAATTCTTTCCTGTCTTAACCGATAATAAAACTCTAGTTCATCCAGCCTCTACCAATTGGGGATTTTAAAAATAATTCAGTCAGGTCAAGATGAAGTCAGCCTTTATATTCCATAAAGAACGAGGCTTACAAAATTTAGTTAACATTATTCAAAAGAATAAATGTTTTTAAAGCCTTTTAAATGTACCTCTCAAGTGGACATGATAACAGCAATGGATTTAGATTCAGAAAAATGGATTCAAATTTTATTTCTGCCCCTTAATAGATTGGAAAGTCATTTAATCTCTCTCTGTACTCAGTTTTCTCATTCCTAGAAATGGAAATAACAGTCCAGCTATTGAGTGAATTAAATGAAATATGAATCTGAAAGTGTTTTATAAACTCTGGGGCACTAAAAGTACGGAAACTTTTTTTCTGAAATTATGAAAATGACTATGCTTAGTCCAAATTAACTTTTCTGACTCATTAAAATAGGTCCCCAAAGGCTGTGTATTTGTCAATACTTCATTCATTGATTCAACAAATATTGATTGTGCACATACTTTCTATCAGGCCACTAGGATTCAGCAGTGAACAAAATATTTAAAATATGTAGCAATTCTTCTGTAATGAGCATACTTCTATTTTTAAAAACATTCACTTATTATTATTATTTTTACCAATAGTGCCTTTCATTAATTTCAATTGGCCTTTCCCCAATATGTGTGAAGATTTAACAAAATTTCTCCTGGACCTCTAAGGAAAGGAAATATGAGGGGGGAAAAAAGATATTAGGTAAATTATTTATCTGTGAAAAACAGTTGTAATTTTTCTGGACCTGTTTGCCTTTTCTATAAAATAGGCGAGTTAATGCCAAAACCGGTTTGGCTCAGTGGTAGAGCTTCTGTCTGCGGACTGAAAGGTCCCAGGTTCGATTCCGGTCAAGGGCATGTACATTGGTTGCGGGCACATCCCAGGTGGGGGTTGTGCAGGAGGCAGCTGTCGATGTTTCTCTTTCATCGGCGTTTCTAGCTCTCTATCTCTCTCCCTTCCTCTCTGTAAAAAATCGATATATTAAATAAATAAATAAATAAATAAATAAATAAATAAAATAGGCGAGTTAAACTAGAGAATTGAAAAAATATATCACAGATATGAGAGTCTGTGATCTCTGAATAGTAAAAAAAGAATTCAACCTTTAGCAACTTGGCCTCCTTCATCAGAATTCTTTCATCAACTTTGGACAAGTTCAATGTTCTCTTTCTCCTCCAAGTTACTCTTTTGTGTGCGGTATCAATAATGGCTGCCACACGGCAGCCTGGGAACCAAGGCAAGGATTTCCATTCTCTAAGGACCAGGAATCCCAGTAATTCAGAACAGTCATCATGAACTCTCTAGAGCATAGAGTATCACGAAAGTAGGCCCACATCTGTTGTCATGCTCCATGGTATCATCAAACACCTAGCTCATACTTGACACTGTAAATACGCTTTGAATAGACAAAAGAATGAGTTAAGCAAACAGTAGCCAGGGTGGAATAATGTTAGGAAGGCTTGCTTAGAGAAAGGATCCCTCTTGACTGAGTTGAAGTCTCCATCTAAAAACTATTCTAACATATTTTTATTAATGTCAAATAACTGCTAACCAAGTATTGATATTTTCCCTCTGATTTTTAGGAAAAGTGGAAGATAGAGGGAAAGACAGAAAGAACTATCAATATGAGAGAAACATCTCAATTGGTTGCCTCCTGTAGGAGCCTTGACCAGGGCCTGGGCAGTGAGGAGCCTGTAAACAAGATACATGCCCTTGATAGGAATCAAACCCTGGACCCTTTGGTCCTCAGGCTGAGGCTCTATCCACTGAGCCAAACTGGCTAGGGCCATTGTAGTCCACTTTTGTAGGACAAAAGTGCTAGGCACGTTTGTACACATTGCTTCATGTCAGCCACAGAACAGTTATTAATAAAGCAGCTGAGATTCTGAGAGATGAAGCAACTTGCCCATAGCCCCACAGCTAGTAACCAACAGAGGCTGGATTCATAGTTTGTTCTGTCTGACTCCAAAGCCCACATTCTTTCCATTATACCACTCTGTGCCTAGGATTTATAGAACATTTCCCCTGAACACCCAAAGGTCACAGATGTAAAGCACAAACACCTGGTTGTAATTTCTGGCTGTTTATCATTTTAACTGGGGGAAAGAGCTGACTCCAAGATGAAGGCGACTGCTGTCCTTGATTCATAGAATCCTGGAGCCAGAATAGGTTGTCCTCCATTCCCTGGTATTTCTCATGTCTCAGAGGTGTCACCTTGCGCATATCCTATTTGTTTCACTATTGCAAATAAATATAGACTCTGCTATCTTGAGCCTCTACAAAATAACTCTCTCAAGAGGGTGTGTGCCACTAGATCAAGAAAAGCATTCTCCTGAGAAAGAAGTCAGAATAGTTCTTGGAGGAAAAATAGTCATAGAATTTCATTTCTGATGCACTTTTTTTTTTCTTGGCTCTTTTAAAAAAATTTTATTTAATTTTTAAAATGTATTTTTTAATCCTCATCTAAGGACATGTCTACTGATGAGAGACAGAGAGAGACGGGGGGGGGGAAGAAGAGGAGGAGAGGAGAGGAGAGGAGAGGAGAGGAGAGGAGAGGAGAGGAGAGGAGAGGAGAGGAGAGGAGAGGAGAGGAGAGAGAAAGAAACATCAATTGGCTGCCTTCCCATATGCGCCCAGACTGGGAAAGGAACCCACAACCTCGGTATGTGCCCTGACCGGGAATCGAACCCTCAGCCTTTCGGTGCATGGGGCAACTTTCCAATCAGCTGAGTTACCCAGCCAGGACTTTCTTGGTCCTTTCGCATCCATGCCAGGTCACCTCTGTCAGGGTGAACCCAAAGCAGTTTGGGTTAAAATCCCCTCTCACTGAAAGGACGGAGGTGTTTCAGATGTAAAGCATTGGGGTTTGGCTCCTTCATCTGGTCAGTGAAAACTTGGCCCCGCTGTGGGAAGCTCCTGTGGAGACTGGAACTCTCCTTCGCCAAAACCTCAGCAGCCTCGGGCCGGTCCCAGCCTGGGAGCAGTGCCAGCTCTGATCCCACAGAAGCTCTGGGCGTCTGGAAGAGAAGCTGCCTGAGTCACGTGCTCCTTTGTGCAGAGTTCCCGAGAGAGATAACAGGCCTTTTAATTCTACCTCCTCAGGATGTGATGGTTAAACGTTAGATAGTATCTCTCAGAAGCCTTTGAAGCTCCTTGAAGCTTTCTTCTGTGGAAAAGCTCCTAACCCTTCCCTGAAATCCTCCGATCCCTTCCTTTCATCCCTGGCCTGCTCCATTCCCGGGGACTGACAGGCTCCTCTTTTTGCCAGCTTCTTCTGAAGTTAGGGGGTTTGGGAGAGGGCCAGACAGATGATGAAGAAAGTGCCGCTACACGTTGGTGGGATCTGGCGGCAGGTCTCAACTTCGTGACTTCTTCCAGGTACGATTACGAGGAGGTGGAGGCCGAGGGCGCCAACAAAATGATGAAAGACCTGGAGGCCCTGATATCTGATCGCTCCTTTGTGGGGAAGCAGTTCCCAGTGGGTGACAAAGTTTACACCGTGGAGAAGGTCGACAACTTTGAATACAGCGATCCAGTGGACGGAAGCATTTCGAGAAATCAGGTAGGAGCAGACTTGTGTGGGTGTGGGAGAGAAGCCTTAGAACACTGTCTCTGAAATCTCAGGGGAAACAGAGACAAAGGCCCTGAGGTCATTTCTCTCCTGCTGCCCCGTTTTCCTAGGATAGCTCTTCTCAACTGGTCTTTGGCTGCATCACACACCACGTGCCCATTTCTCGTAGAGGAAGTGGTTTCGCCCAGGTTGTTTGCACTCCCCGAGGCCCTCATCCTGCAGTGCTTACCCTGTACTCCAGGGCGGGGGGGGTTGTACCTCTAGAATCACATGCAGGATGTTGTGTTGAGTGAGTGTGCAGAGAGGAGCTCCAGGATCTAAATAAAAAGAAAAAGAACTGCAGCCTTAGGAATCAACCCTCCTCGTTTCCTTCAAGGGATTGTAGCAGAGAGCCTGCGTGTGAGTCGTCATTATAGACTGATACATTCCAATTTCTAAGAGAGAAAGAGGTAAGCCATTCACAGAAACATTCACTGTTGTTCTCGGCAGCACGTGACTCACAGCCAAGCCTAACATCACACCTGTGACCTGGTCTGTGTCTGGATGGAGACAGTGCTGTTAGAATTTCCCGCCTTGGGTGCCAGGGACCAAGGCCGCAGGCTGGCTGGGTCAGCCCTTCTCCAGGCTTCTCACAAGCACCCGGGCCCACGGGCCTCTCTCTTCTGGTTCCTCTGCCAACACAGAATGAACGCATCTCTCATCAGTTAGAAACAGATAAGAAAGTGCCTGGGGTCCCCCTTTCTCACAATGCTACCCCAGCAGCTTTTCTGCCATATGCCTTTTCACCATGTGTGAGAACTCTGGGTCTAGCACAGGCGATTGTAAATTATGTCTGAGATAATTAGAAAAAGAGAGGCCTGGAGCGGGGGAAGGGGGTGGTTACAAAGGGGAGGTGGGGCCCAGGGATGGAAGGGTAGAAGAGAGCAGACATTTTCCTAGCAGAGCCTTGAGAGAGAGAAACAACCCCCAACCCTGCGCGGCATCCAGCAGCAGCTGTTAGGAGGGAGGAGGGGGGCGGAAGCGGGCAGGAGGGGTGTCGCATGTACCCTGACCCTGCTCTCTGCTGTGAGGAGGAAGTCAGCAGCTCCACAATCTTTTTTTTTTTTTAATTTATTGATTTTTTTTTTTACAGAGAGGAAGGGTAAGGGATAAAGAGTTAGAAATATTAATGAGAGAGAAACATCGATCATCTGCCTCCTGCACACCCCCCACTGGGGACATGCACGCAGTCAAGGCACATGTCCTTGACCGGAATCAAACCTGAGACCCTTCAGTCTGCCGGCTGATGCTCTATCCCGTGAGCCAAACCGGTTTCAGCTCCACATTCTATAAGAAAATCTGAGTAGTTAGATGGAAGACCAGGTAGAAGGGAAAATCTGAAGTACATGTAGCATCTGCACCAAGTGCAAAGAATTTAGGAACTTCGCGTTGAAGCTGTGGAAGAAGGAGACCGATCCTGGTGTGTTTCTAGAAAGTGAGCCCTGGTGAATGGGAGTGAACTACGTCTCACCTCGATGACCAACCTGGGTCTGTCCTCTGTGTCTCACCTGTTGTCTCCACTGCTGAATGGCAAACACTGGGTGGGGTTTGGTGACAGCTAGCTGGTGTGGAGTGGTGTCTGGCCTTCTGGCCAGACTTCGGCTTTATACAAGCCTCATCTGTTTATGGAAGAATTCATAACGACTGAAGCATCTTCAGATAACTGTCTTGCCCAGTCTTCTTACCTCAGGCTGTGCCATATCAATCTAGGAATCCCCACCCTTTTCCTCCCAAGCAAGAAGGATTGAGCCTGCAAAGGGTGAGAGATGTGTCAGGGAGGAAAAGGCTAGGGCAGCAGAGAGAGGGGGCCAGGCTTGGCATCGCACCCACATGGACCGCTTTCAGTCCTCAGGCATCGGTGGGAGACTGGCAGCTGGATCCTGCTTGATGGGCGGGGGTAGCCTGTCTCTGCCATGGGGGGCCTGTGGCCTCCTGTTCTCTTTTGGAGGCTCCCCATCAGTGTTTTGCAAAGAGTTCTTCCTCTGGTCTGCCTGAAGCATCTGCTCAGGTTTCAGTCCATTCTGTCCGTGTTTCCTCCCTGGTCCAGGGGTTGAATTTCTGCATTTGGTGGCTTATTTATTTGCTTTATTAAGCTTCAAGCTGGAATGGTTAGTCCATAAGTCACAGTGGAGAAGGGAGGGAAGGATGGGCCTGGAGTCACCCAGCCTCCCTGGCATCAGGTCTCCTGCTCGACCTTGCAAATGCTTCCCCCCTATGAGCTCAGTCCCCATTGCTTGGATGCAATGACAGGTTGACTGAGGGCTCAGCTGCTGCCATCTATCAAGGATCTAATCCTCTGATTGATCAATACCAATGAGATTAGACCTCCAAAAGCACGCCTTGTAACTTGCTACCTTCAGCCTCCCTTCCAGCGTATGGGGTGGAAAACCGGTACTTCTCTTTTCCAGGGCTTGCGGCTCATTTTTACAGATGGTTCTCGCGTCATCTTTCGACTGAGTGGCACCGGGAGTGCAGGGGCCACCATTCGACTGTATATCGACAGCTATGAGAAGGACATCGCCAAGATCCACCAGGACCCCCAGGTACTGCCCAGGACCTGGACCCTGACTAGTTCCCTCCGTTGGGAGGAATGATAGTGGCTCCATTGTCAAATAGGTGCTCTCACTTTCCTGCATGTCTCCTTCAGTTTGTCATCACAACAGTGACAGCTGATAATTATCTGAGCATTTGCTATTTGCCAAGCTCTATTCTAAACCCATTACATGGGCATACTCATTTCATTCTCAAATGAGTCAGACTCTGCAGTTATCCCTCCTGCAGATAAGGAAGCGGAGGCCCAGGAAGGGTAAGCAACAATTAATAGGTTTACACGCCTGGAAAGTGGCTGATCTGGGACAGCTCATCTTTGAACTGGCCCCTCAGCTGGTCATTTGCTGCTTTTCCTGGTCCCACTGCCTGCCCTGTAGTACATACACTGGTTCTAGATTGGGTGGTGAACGAGAGAGTTTCATGACCCTGCAAGAAATGTCTTTTTTTTTTTTTTTTTTTAATATATTTTATTGATTTTTTACAGAGACGAAGGGAGAGAGATAGAGAGCTAGAAACGTTGATGAGAGAGAAACACCGAACAGCCGCCTCCTGCACACCCCCAACCGGGGATATGCCTGCAACCAATGCACATGCCCTTGACCGGAATCGAACCTGGGACCTTTCAGTCCGCAGACCGAAGCTCTACCACTGAGCCAAACCAGTTTCAGCAAGAAATGTCTTTATGAAAAAGTCTGTGACCTTACAGCCTGGTTGCTTTGGTTCCCAGTCCCACCCAAAGAGTCTCCAGAGCCCGGCTAGCGTGGCTTAGTGGTTGAGCCACCGTTGACCTATGAACCAGGTGGTCAGAGTTCAATTTCCGGTCAGGGCACATGCCTGTTCCCAGTAGGGGGCATCTGGAGGTAGCTGATCAATGAGTCTCATCATTGATGTTTCCTTCTCCTCTCTCGCCCTTTCTCTCTGAAATAAATAAAAATGTATTTAAAAATCAATAACAACAAACAAAAAAACAAGGAGTCTCCAGAAGTATGTCAGAGTGTCAAGGGATCCTGGGAACCAGGGATGGGACAGAGACCTTGGAGGGCAGATGCCGGTGGGGGACCTAGGGGAACAGTGACACAGGGCACAGTGTTCCCAGGTGCATTCCTTGTCTTGGTGGATGCTCCCCAACCAGAGCTCCAGAGCTGAAAATGTTTAGGACGTGCTGCACGTTAGCGCCTTCTTGGCAATTCACAACACACCGCATTGAAAGGCTCCAAGAAGAGACACCTGTTTAAATAGCATTCACCGTGCTTATTTTTCCACAAAGCTTATTTTTCTTCTAACACCTAATTAAAATTCTGTGAAACTCACTTGAAAATCCCTGGCACCGTGGTCTTGAGCATACGCTTCCGAGTTAGAGATCGTGCTTTTTATTCAGGGTCTGCCCCCCTAGCTGCCTGTCCCTGGTTAAGTCCTTTCAGTGTTCTGAGCCTTGGTTTCCTTGTCTGGGAAATGCCAGAATACTGCCTACTTCATAGAGTTCTTATAGGGATTTAACGACACAATGGATGCAAAATTCTAAACACTGAGCCTGGCACATAGGGTTAGCTTTTGAGTGGCCCCTATCGTTGTTTTTATTACAAAATGAGATGGTGGGAGGAGACTTCTCTCTACAGTTTTCCAAGGCTCTGACTCAGTCATTGCCAGATCTCTGTTGTGTTTGTAGGCATCCCTAAACCTTAACCAAGAGGCATTGCTGTCTGCATTGTAGACCCACAGAATAATAAAGAGAAAAAGAGGAAGGAATTGTGTTTCTTTGTCCTAATGGCTGACAGAGAATGAGTGCAAGATAGATTTCTGCTGGACCATAGCCCCGAGGAGATGGGGGCACTGAAGGTGCAGGGCACCCACAGTGCCCGGTGTACCACCATTCTGGCTGGGGAGAGGCCTCCCCTCACTCTGGGGCTGCTGGGCCTCAGCCCCAGTCCTCTGTGGGGACCAGGGCAGCCCCCAGGGGAAGTGGCAAGTGGTGCAGTCAGCATGTAGAGTAGCTTCTCTAGTTCTCACCGAGGTACAATGAGCTGGTAGATTCAATGAGGAAAAGCACCAGTGGGCAGTGGGAAATTGCTTCTCTTGGCTCTGCCCTGGAGTTACCTGGTCAGATCACCCCTTTGGATATCTGTTTCCTCATTCGTAAAATGGGCTGTTCAACTAGATAAGTAGTTTTTATTTTTTTAAATACATTTTATTGATTTTTACAGAGAGGAAGGGAGAGAGATAAAGAGTTAGAAACATCGATGAGAGAGAAGCATCGATCAGCTGCCTCATACACCCCTCCAACCCCTCCATTGGGGATGTGCCCGCAGCCAAGGTACATGCCTTTGACCGGAATCGAACCTGGGATCCTTCAGTCCTCAGGCAGATTTTCTATCCACTGAGCCAAACCACTGAGGGCCTAGTTTTTAGTTTTTTATATTAAATATTTATTTACTTAAGCAACAGGAGAATTTTTTCAAGTGAGAGGGGGATGGGAGGAGGTGTAGTTGCATTTTGAAAAGACCTCTTTGGGTTCAGTGTGGGAAACAAATTGGAGGATGCAGAAGTGGATTTGGAAGCACCATTGTCTCAGGTAAGAGAGAGAACATTGATTTAGCAAGAGTTTTGGCACTGGTGCTGTGGAGAGATGTTGAGTAGAAAGAAACCCCACAACCTTACACTTACTGATAGATTGGAAAAAGGTTTGCGGGAGAAGAAAGGTCAAGAATGACTCTTCGTTGTCCCTTTGCTTTCTGTGATAGACAGTAGTGTCGACTCACTGCAGCAAAGAATGCTGGTGGGGGGAGAACGGGTCTGTTTTTAGATTGCAGAGTTCCAGGAGTCTTTGGGTCATAGGCAGTCGGACAGGTGGGCTGGGAGCTCAAAGGCACAGTGAGGGCTGGAGCTAGGGGTCTGTGTCTAGGGAAAGTGACGGAAAAGGCTCTTCCCTGTGTGTCTCCCTCAGGTCATGCTGGGCCCCCTGGTGTCCATTGCTCTGAAGGTCTCCCAGCTCCAGGAAAGGACGGGGCGCACCGCACCTACCGTCATCACCTAAGAAGACAGGCCGGATGCAGTACGTCTCTCCATCCCTGGGCCCTCCGAGGCATCTCATTGGAGAGCACGGACAGAAATAACGCGTGTTCACCCAGGCTTTTTAGGATTTGGTTTTTCCACTAACCAGTTTCTGATGGATGGTATGTTTGCAGAGCACTGCCGATCGAAGTGCCTACAGGAGCCATGTGGGAAAGGGGCAGAAAGGACCCAGGGGCTTATGTAATGTCAATCCTTTTTTCTTTTTTCCTTTTGATATTTTTATTGATTTCGGAGAGGAAGGGAGAGGGAAGAGAGAGATAGAAACATCAGTGATGAGAGAGAATCATTGATGGGCTACCTTCTGCACACCCCACACTGGGAATTGAGCCTGCAACCCAGGCATGTGCCCTTGGCCGGAATCGAACCTGGGACCCTTCAGTCTGAAGACCTACGCTCTACACACGGAGACAAATCGGCTAGGGCAATGTCAATCCTTTTCATGCCTCTTCCCACTGCTGCTACGTGGGTATTTGCCTCCTTAGCACCAACTTCTGTTTACACTGCAATGTGAGGTGGAGGTTGAGCATTAGCTAATGAGGCCACTTTTCATCCTTAGGATGTGCCAGTGAAATGACAGTGCAACTTTCTTCGCCTTGGTGAATCTTTCCCCCGTTTATTGTTTACATGGAGCCCAGCAAAACGCAATTTCTGGTGCCTTCTCTCCAATCAATTCTTCCCTCAGAGAGAGACGTACTTGTCGACAGGTTTCTGCCTTGTTTTGCAACATAGTTCTATTCACGCAAATATTTTGGGATATTAAAGCAAACTAAGCTGCTATTTCTTGATGTCTCTTATTTCTTAGTTATAAAAATTCTTGTTTTGTTTCAGAAAGAAAACAGACTTGTTTTTGAGAAGGAAGAGGGTATTTTATTTTGTTTAGATGTCCTAATTAGAAGAAAAAAAAAAGTTATCTGTGCTAGGTTTAAAATCCTTACACTCAAAACTGATCTTAGCAGGGTGGATATAGGCTGGATCCTTCCGAGGTGAATAAAGCAAGGTTGGCGTGGTTTACTTGGAATGAGCGAGAGGAAGGTGATTCTCAGGAGGTCTTAAATAGCAGAGTGCTGCCACGTGCCTGGTGGTGCTGAGATGTCAGGATATCTGTTGAGGAAGCAGAATGCTCAGAATCCAAGAGCAAGATTACTGGCATTTGCCTGGATGTCTTAAACCATTTGGCATCTTAATCACCTTAGAACATTCAACCCACAGGTGTATGATAGTGGTTATAAGCATAGACTTGAGAGCCAACAGACCTGTGTTGGAATCCCATTTAGGACCTTGAGTCACCTTTGACTATTTTTCTCTTTCTCTTTAAAACGGGGATGAAAATAGCTTCAACTCAGTGGCGTCATTGAGACCCTTAAGTGACTGGACCTGTGAGAAGCAGTGGGCACAGTATCTGATTCATGGTCGGATGTTAAATAAGTGGGAACTGGGACTATGCTTATTACACTACTGTTTCTAGATTTTTAAGCACTGGAAAAACAAAAACTACAACCTTAACATTTTTAATGCGTTTTATGGTTTCCAGATGGGCTATTCCACAAACACAGTTCAGCTCTGTACCCCTCTGCCACCCAGAGTGGAATCCCCATTCCGGGTGGCAGGGTGTCTGTTTGGGGTGAGATGCCCAGTGTTGCCATTTAAATTGGGTCCAGCCCAGCAAATCCAGCTGAGCTTTGGCAATGATGAGATGAAGATGAGTACTTACGGAATAGTAAATGCCAGGCTTTGTTCCAAGTATCTGGCTTTCCATATTCTCGTTAAGTGCTTCCCATACCTCAGTGAAGTAGGTACTCCGAATAGTTCCATTTGACAGATGAAGTCGGTTTCTTGCCCAAGGTCACACCACTGGAGAGGGGCGGCGTGCCCCCAGGCGGTGAAGCTCAGCCTCACATGGTATTATCTCTTCCACGGACTGGCTGCTTCCACGGGTGGAAGAAAGGTGTGCAAACACCCCTGTGTCTTAATTACTAAGGGGTGATAACTGTGTGCCTTGGGTGTCCTGAAATTGGGCCCAACTCTGAAATTGGGCCCCTGTTCCATTTTCCACATTTCCAGTGTGTCCTTGGAAATGCTGACATCCAGATGTCTAAGGGGTGTCTGTTGGTTTTAGCATTATTGTTTCTACCCTCCCCCAGATCTCAGTATCTGGCTGTATCAGTCAGCAGGAAACAAGTACCCACCCACATTAAGTGTGCGATGCATGGGAACAAGAGAATGTATAACGCAGTGACTGCCCTCCAGCCGCCTGTAAGACTAGCCAGGCGAATGAAGTCCACGGCCAATAGACTGTGTCGGATGAGTGCCTTATGAGTTGTGTGAGCCTGCAGTTAAAATCCAAATTTCCCAGACACCTATTCTGGTTCAGGTGTTGGCTTAGACGCTTTCGAGTAACGCTCCAAGCGAGGCGTTATTATTCTCTCTTTGGAGTCGAGGAAGCTGAAGTGCAACAGAATTAGATAATTTGCTCCAGGTTCCCAGCTACCATGTGGTGGAAGTGGAATTCTGACCTGAGTCTCACTCTCTTTCCATGACCCTTCCCTGCCTCCCCATCTGTTGAATCAGCTGCAGACACTCCCAGGTCTGTGGCCCCTGGAATGGCTTCACAGATTTCCTCCTTGTCCCTGGTCGTAATTCAGCTGCTTTCTCTGACCCCACTTGGCTCCAGGTTTGGGAGCTAAAAGCTCAAGGGAGGAAGAGGGAGGTGGCCGGGGCCCTGGAACAGTGGGGGGCGGGCGGGCATGAGTCAAAGCTATCTTCCCTCTGTGGCTTCCAGAGAGACACCCCAACACACGTGTCCCCAGGACGAGCAGGAGACGGAGCCCTGAGAGGCTGGCCAGCAGCAGCAGCCACGCTTCCCTGCCTCTCGGCATTGCTGTGGTCTGTGAGTCAAGCCTGTGTTCTGTGAGGTGTGGTGAGCACTGCAGTGAGATCATTGGGTTGCGATTGTGTTGGGCCCAACTCTGAAATTTCACTTTTCTCCCCTCTCTTGATGCTCAGTTCTCACTGAAGAGAAGCCAATTTCCTTTCAGGAATGTTTCCCAGGGCCCAGAACGTGGCCAGGCTTCTAGGCACTGGGCCCTGCCTCGGAGAATGAAAGCAAAGGCTGAGCTGGCTGCGGAGAGGAGGCAGGCGTTGGGGCTGTGTCCCTCTGCCGCCTCCACCCCAAGTACATCCATGCTGCTTTCTGCTGCGTTTCTTGGTGACGCATAAGACAGGGATTGGCCTTATTCTCTGTGTAAGAGACGCTCTCCTGGTGTTTTTCACATTCCAAAACCCAAGCAAAAGAGGATGGACAGAAGTAGTAGCGGCCATCATGCATCTCACCTGAGTTATAGCAGAGGCCTCCTCAGGGCCTCTGGCCTCCGTTCTGCACCCCTGTTCCATTTTCCACATTTCCAGTGTGTCCTTGGAAATGCTGACATCCAGATGTCTTTGTCATGCAACCTGCCAACAAGGTCATGCAACCTGCCTGCCACCTCCCCCAGCAGCCCCTCTCCCTCTCTTTCTGCCTTTGGTCCATGCTCCAGCCACATGACCCACCTGGAAATCCTGTGCTCTCTTGTCTCCAGGCCCTCGTACCTGCTCTTCCACCTGCCTGCATCACCCTCTCCCTCCACCCCTTTCTCTACCAACTTCGCTCTACCAAGTTCCCAACTCCTACTCATTCCTCAGGTCTCAACTTAAACATCATCTCCTCCTGGAAGCTCTTTCTGAGGCTCCAATGTCTGGCTCGGAAACTTTTTCGGTATCCCTATAGCACCCTATTTATGGCCCTTCCCACATTCTATGTTCATTTTCCATTCCCCCTATAGCGCTGGGAATTCCTAAAAGGCAGGCATTGCCCTTTTCATCAGCCTTTATCCAGGATCTAGCCCTGTGACTTGCACATCGTAAAAGTTTAATAAATAATTTTAGGAAAAAGTGAGTGAAATCTAGTTGCATGGCGAATGTTTTCTAAAGGTGTGAACTAACTGATCCAATGAAGTACGATTGTCTTCATGTGACAGGTCAGGTAAGGGAGCTAGGCAGCTTTCACAGCGAGTGAAGGCCTAACTGACCCCTCATAGCGTTAGAGGTGGAAGGTGAGAAAGCACCCAGGAGAGAGAGAGTCAGAGTGCAGCAAATGGGAGGTCACTTCAAATAACATTTGATTTAAATGTTAAGACGTATTTTATCTTCCATTGCTACAAAAGTGCATTGGGTGTGTAGCTGGGGAGAGGTTCACCAGATTAGCCTGAATACAGAAAGAAGTTATTTTTCAGGGAATAGAGTCAACAAAATCTCTAGGCCCTGAAGCCTCCCTCCCATTCCCCCCATTGAGCAGATTTACAGGAGGGAAGTCACGAGGAACCCCGGTCCTGGGCCTCTCATGGGCAGGGCACACCGCATGCATTCCTGGAAGGCTCAGAGCTCTTCTAGGTGCCCAAGTATGAGCTAGGAGCATCCCCGCGCCTTGGCTTGTCATTGTACAGAAGAAGCTAGGTCACTGCCAGCAAGAGCGTGTCTCAGGTCTGTCTTCTCATCCCCTGGGAACCTCTGAGCGCTTTGGGTTGGTTTCCACGCAGTGTGAAAGCTCTGCCCGGGGGTTTGGGTGTGGGCTAATGACCGTTTTCCTAAAAGCATGTCATCTGTGCTTCAGAGTGCTGCTGCTCTCCAGCTGCCCTGCCGAGACAAAGCAGAGGCCGCTTTGTACAGAAAATCACATTTCTTTCTGGTCTTAAAGCAATTTAAATCTAGCTCTGAACTCCCATTCGACAAGGCTGTCAGGATTTTTGTTTTAATTGGTCAGGGTGGGAATGAGTGACAGGTCTCGGATAAAATGTAGAAAGTCCAGTCCTTACTTTTCATCATTACTGCTCAGATTTCATCTTGGTCATTATGATGTACCAATGAATGATGAAGAAGATGCTCTTCTGACCATCGGTCCCTCCCCTTCTCAAGTTTCTTCAGCACTTA